ACTTTTAGCCTAATTAAAATAATTTAAGCCTTTTTCCTCCTTTCAGCTTATTTGTGCTAGTTTCAGTTATTTCAGCTACTATTTCGTTGTTTTTATGCTACTTTTAGCTTATTCAACTAATTCCATTTTTTTAGCTCATTTCAGCTTTTAAGCCATAGTTTAAGCTTATTTCTGCTCATTTCAGCTGTTTTAGCTAATTTCATAATTTTTGTGCTCATCTCTGCTTATCTAAACCTAATTCAGTAAATACGTGTTCTTTCTACTTTCTTGTGCTAATTTAGGCTTGTGCTTCCATTTCAGCTACATTTCAGCATGCCTTTTAGCTGATTTCAGCTGTTTTTCAGCAAGTTCTTCTGCAATAAGCGTTCACGCTGCATTTTTGCAGGCGCCACAGTTTCTCTAGTTTCATTAATGTCGCTGCTCTCGACCGAGGAAGATGCTGGCGGTGAGCAGGCCCATGTCCGAGGAGCTCAGCCGCAGGTCGCAGCGCGCCGTCGGCAGCAGGAAGGACACGCACAGGATCTCCACGGCGTCGCTGGCGTTGGCCCAGCCGCACACCAGCAGCAGCAGCCAGTGGAAGCGCCCGAAACCTGAGAGCAGGACCAGAACAAAGACTGTTAAACTATAAAACCTGTTTTTATCTCCTCCACGGTCAGAAGGAACAAAGTCAGCAAAAGGAAGCGCGCGAGGAACACAAACGATTCGTCAGCTGAACACTTCTATGTGGGAGCTTTTTAACAAACTGTTTTTATTGAACGATCTGTTTTTGGACTCTCCCAAACCCAAACTTTCTTTTTTTTCCTGCACGAGCTTGAATTCTAACACCCAGCAGCGTTCCTCCTCTGACTGATGACAAAAACCACGGAGATGAAGGCTCCAGCTCACCTGCTCGCTCCACGGCTTCCTCATACGACAGCTTTTTGGTCGCAGCTTCGTCGAGCTCGTTCGGTCTCGTCCTGTCGAAAATTATTTCACCTGCGGGTCGACAAAACACACGGAGACGTGAAAACACGCGCTTGACGTTAAAGAGTTTCCACGGATTTCATTTTGTAACTCTGCTGCGAAAACTTGTACCAGGACTAAGTTATCTGGTTTACAGGATGTTTACATGGTGAACTTGTTCATCAGCTGCTGAAGGCGATGAACTAACTGATAAGTATCTGACAGTAATGATCAGTAAGATGTTCAGCTTCATCTAACCCTTCACAGCAGAGCAGCTTTGCTCTGTGTGAGCAGAAACCTTGACGCTAAAGTGGCCCCCACACCTTAACCCAGTTCAGCTTATTTCTACAGCACCAAGCCACAACAGAAGACGTCTCGGGGCACCGAGCAGAAACATCCACACACATTATAAAAGCCACTTCGTAAAAGTTCTGTATCTGAGGAAGCAGCGGATTGTGCTGAATCTTCACTTCGTCACGGTCTCCCATCCTGAGCGAGCACAACGGAGACAGTGGGAAGGAAAAAGTCCCTTTATCAGGAAGAAACCTCCAGCAGAACCAGGTGTCACTGCACGATGTGCGCTGGAAGCACGATCCGTACGGCAGCTCATTTGCACGACTATTCTTAAAATAAAGGTCTTGTGTTGTCAGGAATGTGTCCACCAGGGGGCGCACTGGCAGCGTGAATACATTACTGTCCAAAATACACATTTTTCTACTGAATTATAATTTTGAACGTAAATGAAGGCACTTCTTCATAAACCGAATTATAACATTGGAGAATTAATCAATGTATAGAAAGAGATATTTTAATATCAGTAAACATGGTATGTTTCATAAATACATTTTATTAATATCAAAATGTATTTATGTGTTGTATTAAATCAGCTTACAGGATGTAATTTATAGCGTACCTTTATAATTAAGGCTGGAAGTACATTTTCCTAAATCTAGCGTATTCAAAAGTATTTATTTTAGTGCATCGTGCACAAATGAGCCGACGGTATGGATCGTGCAGCGACACCAGGCTCAGGACGAGCGGCCGTCTGCTTCGACCGGCTGGGTTTGAGAGGACAGGAAGTAGAAAGAGAAACACATTAACAGGTCCAGGTGGACTTTCTATAGTCCAGGTGGACTTTCTATAGGAGGAAAGACAAAAAACAGAAATAATTACAAGTACAGGCAGCAGCAGAGAGAGGACATGTGGTCAATTTGTCCTCCATAAGTCTATAGCAGCACAACTAAGAGATACTTCAGGAAACCCAATCCAACCCTGACTATAGGATTTATCAAAAAGGAAAGTCTTAAAACTGG